TTGGTAACAAAAAAACCAGAAGATCTTTTAAGGCTGAATTGGCAAAGTAAAATTCTTCAACTCAAGCAGAATATTGATTTCTGGAGGACGCTCCCACTATCTATGGCCGGTAGGATCAACGCCATTAAAATGGTGGTATTACCGCGTTTCCTTCATTTATTTCAATCTGTCCCATGTTTTATAGGTGTATCCTTCTTCAGACAATTAGATTCTATTATTATTTCCTTTATTTGTGGCTATAAAAGAGTCAGAATTTCCAAAAAACACTTATGTAAGCCGGGGATGGATGGTGGGTTCTCCTTACCCGATTTTAAGCAAGTATAAAGTATTGCTATTCTCAGCAAAACGAATCATTTCCTAAATAATGCAGTGTGCTGTGCGAGAGTGTGCACGACCCATTTCTGCTTGTGCACTCTCTGTTTAAACGTTGCTGTTTGCATCGCTTATACAAGCTTATGTTCCAAAAGAAGATTGCAATTTTCTATTACATAAACACCAAAATTGTCAACCAGAATTGTTGACAATTAGGAGGACCACTTATTTTGATGATCCACCCGTAAAAATAACTTCCTCCACTATACCTTTAAGTTCCCCCTATTGATAAACACGGTAATTGCAAAATAAATAATAATTTGAACTTGCCTTCACTTGGATAGACATGAAAGTCAGACATTTAGGATAGGACGAGGTTTCAATTGGCCTTCTATATTCATAGGATTGATTGATTAATATTGAATGAGACAGTGAGCCGTTGGAATTAATTTCCTGGTGTGAAGAAGATGACGTAATGATGTAAGCTGCTTGGTGGGAGGGAAGAGAGCTACATTTTAAACTCAAGCTACTGGACTGTGAACCGGTTCACTAAACGGGTGAAGGAATAACTTGTTCAATGCTGCAAAGATGAAATGAAGTTAACCAGGTCAGCTTATGGATGTGGAAAGTGAAGGAGAGGGCTAAGATGAAACCAAGGATTTTAGGCCAAACGTTAGAGAAAGATGCCTAAATTATCAATGCATATTGTAAAAGTGACACATTTATTTAAAACGGACTTTGCACAATAGACAAGCGTGGTAGGTAATGTGGCATGGCGTACACAGCTCTGGGAATATATGGGCTGACTCTAAGTTTTTTCAGTCAAATCGATTACTTTTGCTTTAAAACCTGTTCTAAATAAACAGTGAGAGAGAGACTGATTCCTACTGTGATGAGTTTAGCAGAGCAGCACTAGTAACCTGTATACTAATGCTACATTCAAACCACATGCAATGGAAGCAACTAAAGCAGCTGGTTTAGATGCAAAGTCAATGGTTGACGCGGATCAAGGAACGTCAGAAGATCCTGTAGCGTTTTTCGAGCTGCAGGAGCAGCGCACTTTGACGCATCTGAGCAGCCTAAGCAGCGCCTTCAGACGCATTTGGACACAATTTACCTGATAAACCACAGGAGTATCAAATGTACTATTGAGGCGTGTCTGACCTTTATACAGGCATCAATAATGAAGCAACAGGTACTTTTTTGCTGCTCAAATCAAGTTAGATTGGTAAAAGCTTTAATCTAGATACACAAAACGGAGTACTGGCGTTATGCCAAGAAATAACTGCCAGCTGAGAATTGCCTCCCCTCTCGCACACTTTTCATTCATATTTCAATCCGTTTTCTCATGAGTGTGTGAGACTGGAGGTCATTCTCAAGAGGCGAGTATTTCTTGGCATAACACTTTGAGAGACCTTCTCTTATGGAGATTTCCTTCTCTCTAGGTACATCCTGGCACTTTGCTGCCTCTCTAGGTGAAATACAAAATTACCAGCGGAAGGGTTTCCAGCATTGAGAA